AGGGGCTGGGTAGTTGACCCTTAAAAAACCTTTTAGGGTTTAGGGTTTAGGGTCTAGGGCTTAGGGCCCCTAAGTTTCTGCGGCGAAGTCGCAGCTCTCTTCTCCTCACAGCTTGGGGGCTCATGGGTGCGTATGAGTAGGGTCTTAGTTAGGGCAGCTATGGTGGGGGGGGAACTATGGTTCGACTCGAATCTTGTTTCAGGCACCCTAGAAACCCTACTGAGTATCCCTAAACCCTAAGCCCCAAACCCTAAATCCTAAACCCTAAACCCTAAATCCTAAACCTCAAGAACTTGACTTCCGGAGCTCGCGCGGGTAGGGTGGTGAGTTTGCCGGCTTGGGCAAGCCCGTTCTACTGGAAGGGGCTGCCAGGACTGACTTTCGACAAGGCGTTGACCCCAAACCAGTATCCCTTGGCAGGTTCCCCCTTATACTAACAGTCCCTAGACCCTAAACCCTTTTCCCTTAACCCTAAACCCTAAACCCGAAAAACCCCTATTGTCATCCCTATTACGGACTGCTAGTGTTAGTATAAGGGCTGAGCATCCCTAAATCATGAACCCCAAAACCTGGAACCCTAAACCCGAACCTGCCAGGGCTGGAAATTATCCTTAAACACTAAACGCTAAGCTGCAAGAGTTGAAAATATCCCTAAACCCTAAGCTACAACGGTCGAAATAGCCCTAAACCCCAAAACCTACACAGGAGTGAAAGCACTGCAAGACTCATTGCGCCATGAATGCGAGCCCTTCCGCGGGCTGGTTCAGGGCTGAAGATTTTTGGCTCTGCTCCTGGGTTGAGGGGTTGAGAGGTAGGGTTTAGGGCTTAGGGCTTAGGGTTTTGGGTTTAGGGTTTAGGGTTTAGGGATAAATCAAACGCATAAGCCAACAAGCCTGAGTTCAGGAGACCTTCCTGAGAAGCTTCTGGAGGTTGCAAGGCTTCTTCAGGAAAGGGCTATGCAGGAGCCTACAGAACTCTCGATTTTTTTCGCCTTGTAAGCCCAAATGAACATTTACCCAAACTCGTTCCTCAGAAACCCTCCAATTCAATCAATCGGGCCCTACAGCATGAAGCCTGCCAGGATCCTTGCAGGGACTGCAGCGGAGGGTGGCATAGAGTTCAGGGTTTAGGGTTTAGGGTTTAGGGTTTAGGGTTTAGGGTTTAGGGTTTAGGGTTTAGGGTTTAGGGTTCCTAAACCCAAGTCCTCAACCCTAAGCCCTAAAACATAGTCAGGGCGTGAGCCATGCAGCGCTAAAAACTTGCGTAGATCCATGCACGCGAGACGCGCGCGGCGCAGAGGATGATGCCCGCCTTCCTCAAGTGGCACGGGGGCCTTGAGCAAGTGCGGGTTTAGGGTTTAGGGCTTCATTAGGGTTTAGGGTTTGGGGTTTAGGATTTAGGGTTTAGGGTTAACTCTGAACCCCAAACCCTAAACCCAAAAGCGCAAGTGGTTGACGGGGCGGAAATCATGGAGAGAGGGTCGTCCTCTGCACACCCCAGACCTGCTAGAGAGCCTGGGGCCGCCCCGGAGATCCTCATCGTAATACACCAGTCTATGCGGCCGAATTAGGGTTTAGGGTTTAGGGTTTAGGGTTTAGGGTTTAGGGTTTAGGGTTTAGGGTTTAGGGTTTAGGGTTTAGGGTTTAGGGTTTAGGGTTTAAGGCTCAAACTCTCTACCATCATACAGATCCGCGGATCCCTGGGAGGATCCCAAAAGTAGATCCCCTCCAGCGTTCCTACAGGGTGGGGCCCCCTAGTTATAAGTAGAGTTATAAGGGCCCTAAATTGGGTTATAAGGACCCTAAGTTAGGTTATAAGTCCCTAAACTACAGTTAGTATAGTAAGGGGGCCCCACCCTGTAAGAACGGCCCAAGAATGGTATAGGGTACTATTTGGGGGTTCTACTTGTTGGATCCTCCCAGGGGTCTTGGGAGGTGATGTGCATTACATAGGGCTCCCTTTGGGAGCCTTCTGCATCACCGAACCCTCGGGAGAGCCTAGTGAGAAATATTCAGAACAACTCCCTGCCTTCATTCATTCTTCCAACGTGCCCTACCCAACTGAATTAGAACAATCTCAACAAAGGTCTGATGACTACCTGGCCGAGAATTATGGCAACATAGTTCTGGATCAGGCTGGGTGGGCTGTTGCAGCAGCTCTGCGGCAGAACGCAACAAGCTCAGGACCTGAATAGGATCGAGAAACTTAAGAGAATAGAGAGTGGCTTCATATGGGGGTTTCCGAAAAGAGAGCGTAAACTCCCATATAGAAGCGAGGTGCACCAACAAGTGGCTTGTCTTGCACCTGCTGATTTCTTCTCACGCATCAGGACGATGCGGCATTCTGCTTGCGCTAGGCAGTCGGTACCTTCCAGGAATCCTTAGTAAACAGTTGCTTGAAGGTTCATGGGTACTTACAAGTAGGGTTATAGGCAGCTACGGTGATAACCTTGTCTAGGGCACTTGTGACCCTAATTCTAAGTGATCATGAACTTCCATGCGATACCCAAAGCCCTGGGAGGATCCAAAAAGCAGAAACCCCCAAATAGCACTGCAACGACTAGGTCATTCTTAGCAACGCATGAAGGTGATCTACTTTTTGGATCCTCACAGAGTCTGGGAACCCTGAACCCTAAATCCTGCCAGCCCAGATATCCTAAGCCCTAAACCCCAAACCCCAAACCCTAAACCCTAAACTTGCCCTAAACCCTAAACGCTAAACCCTAAACCTAAACCCAAAAGCCCAAACCCCGCTAAATCCTGCCAGCCCAGCAGAAAGACCCCACAGCTGGTCAGGTGGAGACGGAGAAGAAGGAAACCAGGAGACCTAAACCCTAATCCCTAAACCCTAAACCCTGGCAGCAGTTTGTCTCAGCCCTGCGTGTGTAGGGCTTAGGGTTCTGGGTTTAGCGTTTCGGACTTAGGATTTAGGGTTTAGGGTGAACATTGCATTAATTGTGCCGTGTTTCGGGCTTCGTGGGTACTTAGAAGTAGGATTAGAAGTGCCCCAAATAAGGATACTACCAGAGCTACCCGACTTACGAGTACCCATGAACCTCCTTGTAGGATGGTCGCTTTTGGTTTGAGTCAGTTCCGGATCGGTCGATTGTGCGTCTCCTTCCCCAGATAGGGCACCAGAGGGCTTTATGCCTCTTAACGAAGGAATACACGTTGAAACAGGGACCTGAACATGTCTTCAAGCTTATTCCTAAATTGAAAGATTCTTGGGCTCTTTGGGGCCTTTGGGTTGCGTCCGGCAGGGTGTGGAGGACTTGCTCTCTGAGGAACGTTGGCTCAAGAGCGTAGGTTGCACGCCGAGCCACAATCGTCGGCACAAGTGCGGAACATTTGCCACCTGGCCAAACCCTAAACCCTAAACCCTAAACCCTAAACCCTAAACCCTAAACCCTAAACCCTAAACCCTAAACCCTAAACCCTAAACCCTAAACCTCTAAACCTAAAACCCCATACCCCTAAGACCTAAACCCGAGCAACTAAGACCCATATTCTAATTGACATGAAAGCCTCAAGTTATGGTCCCCCACCCGACAAGTGGGGTAGTTAGATTTTAAGGTTTAGGGTTCAGGTTTAGGGTTTAGGGTTTAGGGTTTAGGGTTTAGGGTTTAGGGTTTAGGGTTTAGGGTTTATCTGAAGCGACTCGGTCAGGACAGCAGCAAGGACAGTTGTGAGGCAGGACAAACCCTAAACCCCTAAACCCCTAAACCCCTAAACCCCTAAACCCCTAAACCCCTAAACCCCTAAACCCCTAAACCCTAAACCCTAAACCCATTCAGGACAGTAGGACAGGGAGCTCAGGCGGGTAGCTGTACCGAAATGTCGCCACACTAAGGGAGGCTCAGGCGGGCAACTGTACCGAGATGTCAGCAGGCCAGGGAGGCTCAGGCGTGCAACTGTACCGAAATAAAGCAGGCCTGGGAGGCTCAGGCAGGCAATTCCACGCACGCAAGGCTTCCTTACAGAAAAGGCCCCCAAAGAGCTCCCCAATCTTGTAGAGTTGACGATTGAAGGACAGGGTGGGGATTTTGGAAGTGATATTTTTTTATAGCACAAAAAGTGGGACCTTAACTCGAGCCGCCCTTCCCACCCCCATAACCCCTCACACCCTAATGCTTCTATACGTTCGGGTTGATAAGGGTTTAGGGTTTAAGGCTTTGGGTTTAGGGTTTCGGGGCCGAAAGAAAACCCCTAGGCACCCTCACACGGCTCCCTGTTCCGCATCAGCAAAGCAACGCACGATTCATTTTAGGGTTTAGGCTTTAGGGTTCAGGGTTTAGGGTTAGTGGCAAGGTGCTTTTGCAGACATGTGCGGCTAAGTTCCTCAACCACGAGCCCAGCAAGTTCCTCAACCCTACTTAGAGGTTCATGGTTACCTCACAAGTAGGGTTATAAGTAGGATAACTATGGTTAAAACCTTACTCAGGGCACGTACAACCCTACTTCTAAGTACCCATGAACCTCCAAGTTTGCCTTCTAAACCCTAAACCCTAAACCCTAAACCCTAGACCCTAGACCCTAGACCCTAAACCCTAAACCCTAAAAACCCTAAACCCTAAACCCCACACTGTAAGTCCTCCACCCACAGCCGAGGTGTGGGCTGTCATGGTCCGGCTCATCCTGGCAGGCTCGCGCGAAACCCTGAAGCCTTAAGCCTGGCTGGTTCTTAGTAGGGAATGAGGGGTTTAGGGTTTAGGGTTTAGGGTTTAGGGTTTAGGGTTTAGGGTTTCCCTCATTCCCTACTAAGAACCGGGGGGCAACCTTGAGCCCGAAAAGCCCCGAACTCAAACCCTCCATGAACAGTAAGACTCTGTCGAAGCACAGGGGCCTACTCAGTGCTGGCAACTGACAGCAGCTGCAACGGCAGAGAGAGAGAGAGAGGGAGAGGGAGAGGGAGAGGGAGAGAGAGCGAGAGAGAAAGAACTGACAGCTGCCGAGCACCCTTTCAAGTCAAGTCAGAGCTGTTCAAGGCCTCTTTGTCTCGACATGGCAGCTCCCCTGGCAGAGTTGAGGACGGCCAAAATGGCCGCGGACGAAGCCTCGAGGTTTGTGGGTGGTCGCATCTTCTCTGTGGGTCACTCCAACAATGAGGCCGACCAGTTCCTTTGTAGCCGAGTGAGTACACCTTACACTTGTTTGGGGACTCTCTAGAATCCCGAATAGAACTGAAAGTGTACACTTTCTTTTTGGAGGGGGGGACGGGGGGGGCGGCTTATGAGCTCAGCAACGAAGGTTCTTCAAGCTCCTTGACAGGCACAACGTGAAGGAGCTCGTGGACATCCGCAGCATACCCTCGAGTGGGAAGTTCCCCCACTTCAAGCGAGGTGCACTTCTGCAGCTTTGTGAGCGCCGGGGCATTTCCTACCGCCATTGTCCAGAGCTGGGCAACAAAGGAGTGGACGGTGGCATCCTCGCCCTGCTTGCCACAGAGGCCGGCGCAGCAGCTCTGGAAAAGTTGGCCACCACCGCAAGCGAGGCGACACACCTGGGCCCCAAGACGGCGATGATGTGCGCGGAAGCAGACTGGCGTGACTGCCACCGACAGGTGGTGGCCCAGCGACTGTTGGAGCAGTTCGGCGTCATCGTGGCGCACATCAAGCGCGACGGCTCCCTGGAGCATCATCCGCAAGACCACCTTCTGCCACCGCGCTACTTGGGAGGCTTGGTACCCCAGAGGTACCCTTTACCCTTTCTTTTTTGTTGGTTCTGGGTTCCCTTATAAAGTAGCCAGCCCCCAAAAAAGGTGCCCTGTTAGAATATGGTTGCTGGGCTAGTACTTGGAGATTCATGGCACTTATTAACCAAGTATAACTGTACTTATAACCATATGAGCGCACTGAAGGGGCTGATAAGTGGGTTAGAAGTACAATTTGAACTGGTTCATAAGTACCATGAAACTCCAAGTAAGGAGTGCAGATGGGTCCGGCTCCGGCCCCACGCTTCGCGTCGGCCTACTCGGCCGAGGCCTTCTGCTGCGCAGAGCCCGCAGGTCTCCTGGAGGGCTACTCCAAGAGCCTACCAGGAAGGGCTATTATACCCCTATAGTCCCTTAAAGGGCCCTGAAAAGGGAGCCTACCAGGATGGGCGATTATACCTATAATCCCTCAAGAGGCCCTCAATAGGGTTTAGGGTACCCTATAATCCCTTAAAAGGCCCTTAATAGGGATTTCATAGGGTTCAGGGATTTTCAGGCCCCTGATTGCCCATCCTGGTAACAGTTCCAGGAGCTCCGGAGCCTCCTCCACCGCTCGCCTTAGAGGTGGGGGCAAAGCCCAAGCGCCGTTGGAGTCGCTGGGGCCGTGTGTGACGCCCAAATATGCCATAGACGTGGGTGCCTGGTTCGAAGAGGTGTTTCAAGGGACTAAAGTTGGGACCCTTACAAGGGGCCTGGGTTATTCAGGGGCCACTTAGGTATATACAGGGACTAGAAGAGAATGAATGTATGTATGTGTATATGGGGGGTTATATTCAGATTCATATATATATATATACACATATCTTATAGGGGAATAAGAGTCTTTTCTAGGGGCCCCTCCTCATACCCCTTAAGTGTTGCCTGGGAGGCTACAGGCCTCATGCTACGGCTTTCTGTCGATCGGACGTTGTTTCTGTGGAGCCGCCTTGTACAGTGTACAGTATTCAGAGGATCGCGCCAAGGGGGAACGTGTTCTTGAACAGCCTTCGCAAAATTTGGCATCCTGCGCTGAATCTCAAACGCAACATCGTTCAGCTAGCCTCCTTGGCCCTTGCTTGGGGGTTGCTTTGGGTACTTAGCAGGAGGGTTCTGACGTACCCGAAATAAGGTTATACCCAGAGTTACCCTACTGAGAACCTCCAAGTACACATGAAGTTCCACAGGAGATGTGTTCACTGCCAAACGAGACCTCCGAAGCCTTACTTGCCGAGCGCAAACAGCGAAAGTCGAAAGCCCTGAAACCCATCCGGAAAACCTTTGGGAATCCCCTTCCCCAAGATGGAAGATCTCCGACCTTGTAAAGCCTACATCCTAAAAGGTGTGTGTTTTGCTTTATAACCGGGTTGCTGTTTAGGAGCACAAAACAAGCTACCATAATCTGTGTGTGCATGTAGTTTAAAGCACTAATGGCTTCATGGGATCATAGCTTGATTTAAACAAGAGCCCATAACGCCACCCGTCTCCGCCCCTCCTTTTCCCGAAAAAAGCCGAAGTTTCTACCTGCACAGCGAAGGGAGCCGCTGAAAGCGCTCAAAGACCGATTTCCGCCCAATCTCAATCCTTCCTGAGGCCCAATCCCCTTTCCCTAAAGCCTAAACACTAACTCCCTACAACCCTGGACCCAAGGCAACAACCCTAAACCCGAAACCCTAAACCCTAAACCAGGCAGCTTGGCTTGGGGGTGCAGCTGCTACAGCCTCTCCGCACAAAACGCCGAAGAATTGAGCTGCTCTGCCTGCAAGTGGAAATGCTTCAGTTGGGTTTAGGGTTTAGGCTTTAGGGTTTAGGGTTTAGGATTCTACCCCGGCCGAACCCTGAATGGAAAAGAGTCCAGTGGTTGGGTTCAGGTTTTAGTCCTGGCTCAAAAGGTGTAGCGTTTAGGCAGTTTGGGTTGCTCGAACTTGAGGACCCCTTTCCCTAAGGCACTAAGGCCACTTCTTTTTGGGATTTGGGGGCCCACAGGCCTTCTTATACAAGGTTTTTGGGCTATTTGAGCCTCAGGGTTCCCCTTCTTTCGCGGAACTTCCGCGTGAGGAAATGCCGCGGCGCAAGCAGCCTTTGATCCCCTCGCATGCCCTGGCATCGACGAGGACTTTGTTTTAAGGCCCCCCCCCCCCCCCGAAAGACCACAGTACAGAAGACCTGCATGTCGGATGGCACCCTTCTGTGAGGGTCCCCACATTGAAAGTTTAGGGCTTCAACAAATCCAGGTGTAAAAGGTTTTAGGGCAAAAGGGAAGACACAAGGCTGGTTGCAAAAGGGTCAAAGTGGTTACTTGGAGGTTCAGCGCACTTTGAGCCCCAACTATGACTGTACTTGTTGTCAGCCCCCCTAAGTCCTCTAAGTAGGTTATAAGTAGACTTCTGATCGGGGTTCTACGTACCCATATGAACCCCCCTAAACCCTAAACCCTAAACAACTTATAATTGGGGTTTTACGTACCCCAAATGAACCGCCAAGTCACCCTGATCGGCTCATGGCCGAAGCCCGTTGAGCGCAGGAGCCGACCGACATAGAGAAGGATTTCGCCCAGGATCCGATTTGGAAGCAGCAAGTCGAAAATAGAATGCAAACGTGGGAAATCTCGCCCTAAACCTCAAAACGTAATTCCGAACCCATAATAACCCAATGGCATCACGCACGAAACCTTAAAACGGAACACGAAATCCTAAACAGCTTAAAACGTAGCTCCAAACCGATAGTGCGGGGAGGGGTGCCCCAAAGAAAGATGCGAACCCCGCATTGGCAAGAGGAATGCCGGGCCCGAGCGAGCGCTAGGGTTTAGGGTTTGGAGTTTGGGGTTTGGGGTAAGGGGTTGAGGGCTTAGAGGATAAGAACCCAACAACTGCTTTTTCATGTTTTGGCAATAAATCCCGAATTGGATTCTTGGATTTCCTACAGCAAGGCAAGCTTTGGGAAGGTATGGGCATAGGGTGCGAGTCGGAGGATGGAGGGGTTCAGGGGTTATTGGGCCAAGGACGGCCAGGGAGTGAAATGGTGGCTTCTGAAATTAGGGTACCTTCTTGAGGTCATGATTATAAGGGAATCCTAGGGAATCCTACGATTTGCGGGTCTATTTTAGGGGTTCTCATTTTCGTAAACACCCAAGTTGCGTCGAAAGGTTTTGTAGGATTTGTACAGGGTGTAGGGTTCAGGGTCTTGAGGGCTAATTATAGGGTTTACGTTGGGTTTATATGATTTGCAGAGCTAGAAGGGCTGAGGAGTCGAGATTGGGTTTTGATGCATGCTGGATGGGAATCATGGTCATTAAGGGTTTTGGTGTCGGAGCCTTATGTTGTGTTTGCAAAGTTGTTTATAAGTTCCAGGGGCGTTTAACAATGCTATATAGAAGAGGATTTTATACATACCAAGAAATCAGTAAATAGCATGTGTACATATATATATATACATATGTGTATCACTCTATTCTGCAAAGGGGGGAGTTACTGCGGGGTGAGCTCTCCCGTCCGAGACATCAGTATACTACACACCAGATCCAGAAGCCGCGCCCAGGGTTCCACAGACAAGGCAAGGGCAGCCTTGACTAACCCACAGGGAGGCACAAGTTGGGCCCCTTGTCAAGTGTGAGCCTGCTTCTCCTAAACCCTAAACCCTCAACCCTCAACCCTCAACCCTAAACCCTAGACCCTAGACCCTAGACCCTAAACCCTAAACCCTAAACCCTAGCCCTAAACCCTAAATCCCTAAATCCCTAAATCCCTAGATCCCTAGATCCCTAGATCCCTAAACCAGCCTAACCAAGGAACCCTTAGTCCTACACGTTGACACAAACCGAAGCCCTAATGAAGCCCCAGAGGCCTGAGACCCTGAACCCGGAGCCGGCGTCGAGGTATTTCACTTACGACACCTTCGACGACCGAACGACGCTGGCTTCGAAAACATCTAGCTCTGAAGGATTTAGGGTTTAGAGTTTAGGCACTCCTCAGTCTGTGCTGAAAAAGGGTTTAGGTACTGAGGGGTTTTGAGCTCGCATGAGAGGGTGTAGGGTTAACTTGCGTTTTAGGGCGTAGGTACCTACCCCGGCTTACTGAAGCAGCCCGGCAGCAAAAAGGCATAGGTACTCAGGGCGTGCATCTACGGGTTTTGGGGGGTTGGGGTGCTCTAACGGTTTAGGGGGTTTAGGGCTTAGCCTTCGGAATCTGCAGCAGGAAGAGGCAACACCAAGTGCGATAGACACCTGAAGACTGAACGTTGAACCCTAAGCCGAGATATTGACCAGCCGCAGCTTGCATGCTTGCGTGAGACTTCAGGGCTTGGTTCCGAGATCCTAAGAGCATGGCAGCCCGTAATCCCGAAAAGGGAAGTGGTCAGCCCAAACATCCCACCATATGAAAGCGGCCTAACCATCTTGTGACAAAATTGGCCCCCAGTGAGCCTCAAGCCCTCTAATTCAAGAATGTGCCCTTATAAGGCTTACCCCCTTAAAAGTTATGAGCTGGCACAGACCATGATGTACCCTAGAACCTTTGCACTTGCGGCGGCTTTCTCCAGAGAAGTCAGGGTTCACCCCAAGCCTGTTGCACTTATTGTCTACCATAGAAAAGGAGAGATAGAGAGAGAGAGAGAGAAACAAAAAAACAAAACAAATGCTAAATAAATGAAAAAACCAAATAACACAAAGAGAGAGCGAGAGAGAATAAAAGAACAGAAATACAATAAAATGAGAGAGAGAGAGAGAGCGACACAGAGAGCAAATCAAGAATAGCAGACAGAGGGTGAGAGGCGGGATGGCACTTTGAGGCCCCCTGAATGATCCTGAACACGGGAACCCTAAAACCCTAAAACCCTAAAACCCTAAACCCTAAACCCTAAACCCTAAACCCTAAACCCTCTGAGGTGGAAGGTGCTGGACGGCCTGGAGACGTGCCTCCGCAGCGTCCCGGGCGGGAGCACAAACCCATGGATCGGCGCCTCCGACTTGTGGGAGGCGCGGCTTCTGGTAGGGTTTAGGGTTTAGGGTTTAGGGTTTAGGGTGTAGGGTTTAGGGTTTAGGGTTAGGGTTTAGCGTTTAGGGTTTAGGGTTTAGGGTTTAGGGTTTAGGGTTTAGGGTTTAGGGTTTAGGGTTTAGGGTTTAGGGTTTAGGGTTTAGGGTTTAGGGCTACTTGCAGGTTCATGGGCGCGTATAAGAGGGGTTAGAAGTAGGTTAGCCATGGTTATAACCTTATCTCGGGCACTTTGAGAGATTTGATCAAAATGGCGCTAAACCCCCCTCCCCGCCCCCCATTTTGGATCTTGTAAACGCCACCCGTTTTGACCATGGGTGGCCTAGTAGCAGGAATTCAACCCCTGCTTCGCCCTCAGTCCAGCCAAGCTCTCGCCCCTTTCGGATTTTCCAGTCTGGAAAAAGACGAGCGTTATCCAGACCAGGCAGTGGCAGGGTCTCAAGGTGCGACAGGGGGAGAGCGATAAGAACCCCACATCCACATGTTGTTGCTATTAGACCCGCTACATCAGTCCTGTCCCCTTCCAAACGAACTGTACAACAACAAGCATGACAGGTACTACAAAGCCATCCCTACTTCTGAGGGCGGCGCGAGGACAAAACAGCACCAGGGGACTGCAACACTTCAAATGTGCAGACATGCTCATAA